TTCCTTCTCCGATCCATTTTTACCTTCTTAGATATGGCTTCTGATCGCCATGCACCTCTTTTTGGTGGCGAGAAAAATCACGGTCATTACTCAAGGGTGTGCGCTAGTAAATTTGTCCTGTAATTTTAACTATCAAAAGTTTAAATCTTTGCTCCTAGTTTGAGTTGGTTAGTCATGAATAATTCATTTTTTTTCTTGTGGTTCTTTACCAGTTAATATTTGACATAAGTAATATGCTCACTTTGAACATAATCCTTATACCATTGTTAGATTCGAACATTGGTCTTTTAGTGAGGGACTACTTGTATGCAATAAGCAAAGGTCTAGCTTTTATGGTTCAGTTAAGTTACTACTTCGTATAATTTATATCCTCTCATATGCTCTGTCAGGCCGAGTGTGGAGTAAATGGAAAGAAAAAAAAAAAGATTTCTTATTTTGTTAGATGGTTGTGGGGACATATAATTAATGATTTTAGTAGGGAAAATATAAATCTTTTCAACTGATCGAAATTGTGTTGAAATGGATTTAACTAAAATTTTAAAAAGTGTTTATAATTACTTGGTTTGATATGAACAGGACGTGAGCCCAACAATGCGACAGGAGAGGTGTCTGTGGACCAGTACCATAGATATAAAGTAAGTCCATTATATGCTATACCATTTATAGTCTTCTACAAAAATCTTATCCGTCTATTTATATTGTTTTGTTGATAAAAATCTAAAAATTATCACGTCACAATAACATTAAGACCAAAACTAAATATTTTGATAAAAAAAAATTAAAATAAATTATCACCTATAGATCTAAAATCAAAATAAAATTAACTTAAAAATCAAAAGATGCCCACCGACATGCCATATATTTTCCCATTTCTTAATATGAATTAATTTGATGTTGGACCACATTGTGTCTTCTAGCTTCGACCCCTATGGCAAAATTTAATTATTATCTAATTAAAATATTTTTAAATTCGAAAATTAATTAATCCATTTACATTATGTAAAATTAATTTTTGTCCTACTTGATAAATCTTAACATTATAAATCAAGATTTGACGAAAAATTCTACTATATATATTTTTTAATTAAAATGTGAAAAATGAAAGAAAAAAAATGATATTCTAACCATCTTGAAAAAAAAAAAGTGGTTTTTAATAAATATATATCTCTTTCACTTCAAAAGACATCAATAAAACTATAAAAGGTATGGTTTTAAAAACTAAATTTTATTAACAATTCTACCATATTTTTCCTTATAATGACTCAATTAGTAATTGTATCATTGTAATTACATTTTCAAACCCAAAAATAAAAAATAAAAAATGTATTAGTTGTTCACTCAAAATAGAGTTGTGTTACATTCTCCTTGCAATTCTTGTTTCTCAAATGTCAATATTGTATTGAGCGCTTTTTTGTTTAATTATTAAACAATATAACTTGCAGCAGGTTCAATATCTTGTGGTCGAGTGACATCAAACTATAACTTTTGATTAAAATGTCATAAATTTGATCTTTTTGTGATGGGATTAGCCAATTAATATAACGAGTTTTTAGCATTTTTCCTTAAAACACTATGGTGGTATTTTTGTGTGCAGGAAGATATTGATCTGTTGGCCAATCTCAACTTTGAAGCTTACCGTTTCTCAATTTCATGGTCCAGGATATTCCCTAGTAATCTCAATTTCCCATCAACTTTTTTTTCCCAATAATTTCCTATATCTGCATTTTTCCAAGAAATAAGTTTTTTTTTTCTTTCTGTCAATGAACTTGTGGTCATGGGTTTATCGGCCCCAGTGGAGACGATATTGACTCTTTGTGCTTCAATAGGTTGAAAAAATATATATGAACAGATACTACTTTGTAACAGAGTCAATCGTACTCAAAAAAAATAATTTTTTTTTTCCTTTTAAATTAGGCATGCAACACTTGATTAACTAAAGCTTTTATTCAACACACTAGATGGAACTGGCAAGGTGAACTGGCAGGGAGTTGCTTACTACAATAGGTTGATAAATTACATGCTCAAAAGAGGTATATTTTTTCGCGATTTTTTAATGATTTCCTAGAAGAAAAAAATAATAATAATCATGAATTTAACTTGTTCTTGTTTGAATGTGTGTTGCAGGCATTACCCCCTATGCTAACCTCAACCACTATGATCTTCCTCAAGCACTCCAAGATAGGTACAATGGCTGGCTGGACCGACGAGTTGTGTAAGTCTAAGATCTCTTTCGACATTGTTTTACTATGATTCATGTTTTTGCCTGGAATTTAGGATTGGGGAATCTGGGATTTTGTGCAGGGAAGACTTTGCTGATTATGCAGAGTTCTGTTTCAAGACGTTTGGTGACAGAGTGAAGAACTGGTTTTCGTTCAACGAGCCGAGAGTGGTGGCTGCCCTGGGGTACGATAATGGGTTCTTCGCCCCCGGGAGGTGCTCCAAGCCGTTTGGCAACTGCACCGAGGGGAACTCTGCGACCGAGCCTTACATTGTCACTCACAATCTCCTCTTGTCCCACGGGGCAGCTGCTCAGAGATATCGCGCTAAGTATCAGGTAATTGAAGCATGTGTTCCATCTCAACTAAAAGCTTAAGCTGATAGTTGGATTGCACATTAATAGTTATATGCTCACACAGGTGAGGCACGATTGGGAATGCCTCCCTTGTCTCAGTTGTCTGTCATGATTTTTCATTGGAGGAGACTCGAGAAACTTACTCGAAATTGAAATTGGAATTGCAGGCTAAGCAGAAGGGAAGATTTGGGATTCTCCTGGATTTTGTGTGGTATGAACCCCTGACAAGATCAAAGGCTGACAATTATGCTGCTCAGAGGGCTAGAGACTTTCATTTGGGCTGGTTTTTGCATCCCATTGTGTATGGGGAATACCCAAAAACCATGCAAAACATCGTAGGCAAAAGGCTCCCCAAGTTCACCCCCGACGAGGTTAAGATGGTTAAAGGATCAATCGATTACGTTGGCATAAACCAATACACAACTTACTATATGTACGAGCCACATAACAACAAGCCACCAGTCCCCGGCTACCAGAACGACTGGAACGTCGGGTTTGCCTGTAAGATTACTGCCCTCTTTTCTCAGTTTTTTTCGTCCTATTTGGATAGTCACCTGATTTACGATATTTCTCGTGCAGATGAAAAAAACGGAGTGCCAATTGGTCCAAGGGTATGTTGATTGTTGAACAAAACTATATATCCGTATTATCTGCTAAATTAAAACTAAACCTTATTCTGAATTCTGAATCTATAGGCACATTCATATTGGCTCTATATGGTGCCCTGGGGAATGTACAAGGCTGTGAGCTATGTGAAGGAGCGTTATGGAAATCCCACTATGATTTTATCAGAAAACGGTAAACGAAAACGGTGGTTTTGGTTTTGCAGACGAACTTAAACGAATCTGAAACGCTAAAACTCGTTTGATTTCTGCAGGGATGGACTATGCAGGCAATCTAACCTTTGCTGAATCCTATCATGACACAAAAAGGATCAACTATTACAAGAGTTACCTGATTCAACTGAAGAAGGCAATCGACGACGGGGCCAATGTGATAGGCTACCACGCATGGTCATTGCTCGACAACTTCGAGTGGAGGCTAGGCTACACTTCGAGATTTGGCCTCGTGTATGTCGATTACAAGACCCTCAAGAGGGCTCCAAAGGAGTCGGCCAAATGGTTCCAATATATGATTCGTCGAAACAAGCATTAAGCTTCCCTCCACCGCATCGTCTTTTAGTTTGTCTCGACTTTCTTGGTTAGAACTGCATAAGCCCTGTAACAGCAACTTCTGGACCTTGTGGTCCTTGTGGTTTTAATAAAAGCTTAAGCTGATAATTGGATTGCACATTAATGGTTATATGTTCAACAAACACCAGTATATTCAATTATTATGTTGTTTACATGTTACTTAAATTCGATCAAAGTATCTATAAGGTCCCTGTGCTATAGAGTTTTGTTCAATTTAGTCCGGCCTTCTACCTTAATTTTGTTCAATTTAGTCCCTATACTTTAAAAAGTGAAACAATTAAGGACAATAGAATTGCTTATGTGGCACTGACATTATTTCTGCCACATCATCATAATTACATGTCAACTCATATATTATATTTAAATATTTGAAATTAATATGTCCAAAATAAATATATAAATATTTGCTCACATCAGCTATTGTTCTTAATTATTTCAATTTTTAAAGTAGAATGACTAAATTGAACAAAACACTATAGTACAAGGACCTCAGAGGTACTTTGACCCTTAAATTCAAATAACATAAATAATCTTACAAATAACTAACATAGTTGTCATGTGGAGATTCATGTTAAGGTTGGTTAAAAAATTGATTGAAATGATCAAATGTGACATCAACTTAAATTTTTTAGTTTTTTTGGTACGTCAAATGATCAAATTTGACAATAAGGAGGCCTGTTTTGGGTAACATAATCTTCTCAATCTTCTTGGTTTTGCCCAATAACATAATGCTGGATGGGGAGATATTACTCCATGATTTCCATCCAAAATCACATCACTAACATTTCAGAATTTTAGGATTTTTGGGTGTCGAAGGTAGATTTGTGAGATTAGACAACATTTTATCAAAACGATTATAATAACATATATGAAAATAATAGTAAATTATAGTATCACACGATTGCTTATAAGACAAGCCCTTATATTAATTAAATTCAATGTTGAATTTTTTTTTAGCTAAAATGGTACTTTTGAGTAGTTATTTTGTAGTACAAATATATGTGGGTTCATTTTCGATTTGGATTAGATCAAAGTAGATTTGCACTCTCCGTGATAAGACGAAGAATTTGATATATTGTATACTCAAAATGGATAATAGGTGAATGAGAAATTGATTCTCAAAGTAAACATATTTCAGATAATTAAGTCAAAATTACAAAGAAATGCTAATTATGTTTAGCACTAGACGAGTTGTTAATCAAGCACTCGGTGTTTTTTTTTTTCAAAGGTAAAACTTAATTCATAAAATCAACCGACAAACAGTCAACAAGAAAAGGGGGAGGGATATCAACCCATTCCCCGCAACCTAACTCAGAAACGGCTTCCCGCGCAACAAGGTGGGCAGCACGATTTGCAGATCGCTTTACAGAAGAGAACACTACATTATGAAGCATAGAAGTAGCTACTTTAATATCATCTACTAAACTATCAAACGATGAATGAAAATATGTAGCATGAATAGCATGGAAAACAATTTGTGAATCAGTTTCGACATCCACCTCCCCCAGCTCCAAGTCCTTGAGCCAACTTAGAGCCTCCCGGATAGCATATGTCTCAGCCTCATTTACATTGAAACATCCCCTCATGTTTAGACCTTTAGTAGCAAGAAATCTACCCTCCTCATCCCGAAGAATCCAACCCATGCCCATACAATTATTAGCATAATCAAAGGCCGCATCCATATTTACCTTCAACTTGCCCGGTGACAGTTTCCTCCATTGCACACTAGCGTCCGGGTGAGCTAGGGAATGAGAGGCATGCGCTGACTCCTTTGCATTCTTCCAACTGTACCAATAGGATAGAATCAGATGTAAAATTGTATCCATAACAAAGGAAATGCCTTTCCAGACATGCTTATTCCTACTATTCCAAAGATCCCAACAAACCATTACAAACTTAGTGAGGAGACCACAGTCAAAAGCTCTTACGCATGCGACAACCCAATCGGCAATATTCTCATCTTCATGAGCCACCACTGGTATCCCGAGCACTCGGTGCTTTATTTAACAACTCGTGATTTTAATTTAATTTGTTAAGCTAATTAAGCTTAAGTATGGTTGATTAAGCTTTAAAGTTTAATTAAGCCTAATTGCTTAATGCTGGCAGCACGAGTTGTTAAGCTTTGAAGAGCTTGATTTGAATTTGGGATATTGGCATTAATTCGGTGCTGTGGATGGTGTGACGATTCGGTGTGCACGAGTCAGTGCTATATGCATCGATTCGTGCTGTATTGTTTTGGGGCTTTTGCATTATTCGAGTGCGATTATTGATCTCAATTTGAAAAAATTTTAGTTTGTATGGACTTATTGGTCACTCAGGTGATTTGAAAGAGATTAATAGATTATTATGGTTGGTATGAATTAATTGTATATTAATTTCGTGACCGTTGATATTATTACGATAATAAGCATGATCGTTTTAAACGTTATAATCCTATTATTAAATTGAATTTATGTTGGCTTATGTGCGATGAATATGCTATTTCATTCCTCTCTTCCGTACTGTTGGCGAAATAGTTTCGTACTCTAGATTGAAACTCTCAAAATGTTCATTCTTGTTTTTTTCTCTCCACGTACTCTGAACTCTTTTGCTACGAAGAAAATTTTTTGCCAACATCTTCTATAAATTCATACGAAGCGCTCAACTTGTGTTCTAGTTCGCCGGGTTTTGGGTTTGAGTACTCAAACACCAAAGTCGTAGTCTGTTTTATCTTGGGAGACTGACGCCACAACGCTCCTAGCACCCTCGGGATGTGGCGAATCGGTTTTAAGGAGAGTGTGTGTACACACGACTCAGATTTCTATTTCTTCTTGTGTTGGGTTAAAACCTCAAGTTAGAAACTCTTTCTCTTTCTCTCGTTTTATATATATATATATATATATATATATATATATATATATATATATATATATATATATATATTTATTTATTTATTTATTTATTTATTTATTTATTTATTTATGGTGTTTGTACCAAAAATTGATTGGAATTAATTTTCTACAAATTAAATTCGATTTTTGTATAAATATATATTTTATATATGTTTTGTGTATCGACTTATTCACAATATCCAACCTTCACAAGACTTAATAGTAAATTCACACGATTGCCAAAGACTTGTAATCGAGCGGCATAATTGTGGCTCTCCCAAATGAGAGGTCACAGATTCGAACCCTAGTGGAGACATTGACTCAACATGTTGAAAATGGAAATTTATATAATGATGGAGATCAATGTTTAATAGATACGCTCTGGAACCAATATAGTTTTGAGTATATATATCTCAAAGATATACAAAAAGAGTTAATTCCACCAGATGTCCTTTGTTTTTTGTGACAATTTAAAATTTAGTCTCAGACTATCGTTTCTGTCATTTAACATCCCAAACTATTATTTTTTAGACATTTTTAGTCATTCTCATGACTTTTCCTAAATTTCTATTTTTAGTAAGAGCATTTTTGTCTTTTCATATTTTTCTTTTGTTATTTTTCCGATTTCAACCCGTTTAATTGGTTTAGAACTTTAGGTAACCTCTGATTTTTAGTAATCATACTTTTCAACCGATTTTTAGTAAAGTCCTAAACCAATTAAACAAGTTCAAACTGGAAAGATAACAAAAGAAAAATATGAAGGGACAAAAATGCTCTTGCTAAAAATAGAAAAAGTGATGAGAAAGACTAAATGTGTTCATAATTTAATAGTTTGGTTAAATGAAAATAACGATAATCTATGACTAATTTTTTTTTTTTGAAAGCTACTGGTTCTATTCTTACTAAAACACAAAGAACCAATAACGCCTCCATTAAGGCTTGAACTCATAATCTTTCAAATGAAAGTCTAACCCGAGTACCATTAAACCATATAGTCATAGTCACAATAATCTATAACTAAATTTGAAATTGTCACCAAAGACAAAGAACCTCTAATAGTACGATACTTCGAGCAGTACAAACGAAGAGTACTTTCTCACTTGAGAAAATTCGAATGTAACTTGAACTTACTCAAATCAAGTCTCTACTCAAAATAATATAAAAAACATAACCACTAATTTTTGTCAATTTTTCAACATTTATATTTAAAGATTTTATGCTGATTCCTAAATACATTACTTGGTTACGGTTTGATATTAAATTGAAAATGATTACTTTTACTTGATAATGCAGAATATTATTATTAAAATATTTCCGTTACATTTTTAATTTTTATTTCATTGTTTAAAATTGTGAAAGATTTATGACATAATTATGATTTGATGTATTATACTGTATAATATTATTGTGGAAAATTAAAATGCATGTAATGATCTGACCAATTCCTTTTCCATTTTAGTTAATTATGGATCATTTTTATTTTCAGTCAATTATTAATATTCATTTCCTTTTTCAATTAACCTAACTTCAATTTCTTTTTTTTTTTTCTGTTGAATAAAGAATTGTCAAAAATATTATTGGCAAAAAGGATAATTGAAAACACAGATTCAATTGTCTCCCAGTCAAACTACAAGCATCATTCAAATCCTAATCTAATTGGGACTTGTCTCCCAGTCAAACTACAAGCATCATTCAAATCCTAATCTAATTGGGATTTATACTTTAACTAGGATCGTGATCAAGTATCACCTATTTAAGAAAGACTCTTAGAAGAATAGAGGCAGCGATTTTACCCGAATCATCTGACCGAGTGCATACAGATATATTGAGAGAAAGAGAGTCTATCACTTTGGAGTAGTACGAGAGTTTAGGTTACAATAGATTATGAGAGTTTGTGAGATCTATTGTGTAAAGTTTTCTTCTTCCTATACTCTGTACTTTTGAAATTGCTCATAGTGAATTTAGGCTAATTCTCAATTTGAGAAGTGCCTCGCAGATTAGGGTTTTCACCCAAACTGCGTTACAATTTCCCGGTGTTACAAACATACGTTACAACATTACTGTGTGTGTTGCTCCTTATATTTTTTCAATTGGTATCAGAGCGGGCTGCTAAAACTGCTAGCAGGATCCTACACCACCCAAAGGAACAACACAATGAATTTTCCCAGAGAAGGTTTATCAAGCAGCAGACCACCAGCTTTAAACAGTGCAAATTACTCTTATTGGAAGGCTAGAATGAGAGTATATATTATGTCCCAAGGTGAAAGAGTATGGAGATCAGTAGAAGAAGGTTGGGTGCCACCTACCAATGAACAAGGAGAAAAGAAACTTAAAAGGGAGTGGTCTGAGGAAGAAATCAAAGAAGCTGACTTTAATTCAAAAGCCATGAACTCTATTTATGGAGCAGTAAGTGAAGAAACATTCAAACTAATATCAAACACTGAAATAGCCAAAGAAGCTTGGACAATCTTATGCAATCATCATGAAGGCAATACTATTGTCAAACAATCAAAACTACAGATGATCCAGACTCAATTTGAAACCTTGAAAATGGAGGAAAACAAAAATATCACACAATTCAATGCAAAGATCCTCGACATAGCCGGAGCAGCATATAATTTAGGAGAACCCTTTCCCGAACCAAAATTGGTCAAAAAGGTACTCAGATCTTTACCTGAAAGGTTCCTCATGAAAGTCACTGCCATGCAAGAAGAGCTACAACAATTCGAAAGAAATGAAGTATGGGAACTTGTCCCTGCACCAGACAACTCTAACATCATAGGAACAAAATGGATCTACAAAAATAAAACTGATGAAAGGGAAAATATAGTGAGAAATAAAGCCCGACTTGTAGCACAAGGATACACTCAAGAAGAAGGAATCGATTTTGAAGAAACCTTTGCCCCAGTTGCTAGGATAGAATCCATACGCCTTCTCCTCGCCGTAGCATGCATCCTAAAAATCAAACTTTACCAAATGGACGTGAAAACAGCATTCCTGAATGGATATATAAAAGAGGAAGTGTACGTATTCCAACCCAAAGGGTTTGAAGATCCATTCCATCCTAACCATGTCTATAGACTAAAGAGAGCCTTATATGGTTTAAAACAAGCTCCACGGGCTTGGTATGAAAGGTTAACACAATTCCTACTCTCAAAAGGATACAATAGAGGAAGCGTTGACAAAACATTATTTGTCAAACACTACAAAAGTGACATCATCATAGCACAAATCTATGTTGATGATATAGTATTTGGATCATCCAGAGAGACCTACAAAGATGAATTCATTCGTCACATGAAAAGCAAATTTGAAATGAGCATGGTTGGAGAGCTCAGCTACTTTCTAGGTTTGCAAATAAAACAACTGGAAGAAGGAATCTTCATCTCACAAAGTAAGTATGCAAACAATCTTGTCAACAAATTCGGTCTAAAAGAAAGCAAAGTTGCCAGAACACCTGTTGCAACATCCGACAAAATTGCCAAAGATACAGAAGGAAAAGATGTAGAACAAAAACTATATCGTAGCATAATTGGTAGTCTACTATATTTAACTGCCAGTAGACCAGACATTTGCTACGCAGTAGGCATATGCGCCAGATATCAATCATCTCCTAAAGAATCACACATGAAAATTGTGAAGAGAATTATCAAGTACATCAAAGGAACATCTGATCTAGGAATATGGTACTCCTTTGACACAAACAAATATCTATCAGCATACTGCGATGCAGACTGGGCAGGCAACATGGATGACAGAAAAAGTACTACTGGAGGATGTTTCTTACTTGGAACAAATCTAGTCTCTTGGATAAGTAAAAAACAAAATTCAATATCACTATCAACTGCAGAAGCTGAATATATAGCTGTTGGAAGCTGTTGCACTCAATTGTTATGGATGAAACAAATGCTAGAAGACTATGGAATCAGTCAAGCAAAAATGACAGTATATTGTGACAACAAAAGTGCCATAGATATTTCAAAAAATCCAGTCCAACACTCACGTACTAAACACATTGACATACGACATCACTTCATCAAAGAACTAGTAGAGGAAGAAATCATTACCATGAGGCACATCAACACAGAAA